CGAATACTTCTACAGGCGCCTCGGCGATTTGGACGCCGCGACCGCCTCCAAGACTGGCCATACTGCAATTGTGCCCGCGCCACCGCCGCCACCGCCGCCACCGCCGCCGCCGCCGCCGCCCTGCTGGCTGTCATCGGTCGAGATGCGCAGGAAGGAGCGGCGCGGACGCAGAAGCAGATGCAGCTTGTACTCCGTGGGCCCCTCCTGCGGCTCGGGCTGTAGCCGCAGCAGCCCAGGCTGCTCGGAGTCGACGCTCAGGCTACTGCCTCTGGGCTCGGTGCTCGGGCTGCGGCCGGACTGATCGTCTGCGCACGAGGAGCAGTGCGTGTCCCACGGCGAGCGGACGCGCGGGGTGTCGGCGCCGGCGTCGGTGTCGAAGCTGAACACGGAGGCCATCGCTCAACGACTCATCGGCGCGGTGAAGGGCGCGTGCGCAGCGGAGCGACGGCGCGGTCTGCAGACATGTAGTCGTGCAGCAGGGGAGCGAGACTGCACTTTGTGGGCACGAGCCCTGTCGTCTGTAAGTCGTCCTGTAAGTCGTCCTGTAAGTCGTCGCGCATGCCACACAGCGAGGCAGCCTCTCGAGACAGCATTGGCGTGGTGAGGAGCGCTACCGTCGTCGTCATGGAGCTGTGCTGCAAGGACGCCGGCGAAGCCGCTTGTTTGCTGGGCGGCGACATGGGCCCAAGGGCGCAGGCACAGGCGCAGGCGCAGGCACGGGCGCAGGCGCAAGCGCAAGATCGAGCAGGCGTGACTCCGACTGTCACTCTGACTCTGCGGACGGATGAGTCATGGGCTCCAAGCCAGGCGTGGCACAGGCACTGGCATGGACATGGACACATGGACGTGGGCAGGCTGTTCTTCGGCTGCAGGTGAGAATGTAGCGACGCGGCAGCGGTGAAGTTGGGCGTGGCCGAGAGCATGGATAGAGGGGTTACTACAAAGTCGCGTAATGAGCGTCATTGTCGCGATTTCGTAGTATCGATGAGTCTCCGTGGCGCAATTGGTTAGCGCGTCTGACTGTTAGTCATAAAATCGGTTCAAATGCTGATTGGCGCAATCAGGAGGTTGGAAGTTCGAGCCTTCCCGGGGACGATGTTTTTTTCCGAGCACTGTCGAAGCACCCGACAGCCTCAACAGTGCGACATACTCTACGCAGCGCTTAGCTTGTTGCCTCCCTGGCAATGCAAACGCATAGGTCTGGGCGTCGGATCGGTAGTCAGCCGCTGCCGAACGTTGATATCACGCAGGCATGTACGAACAGGAAGGGTGTGGGCAACCTGTCTGCAAAAGGGGCATTGGTAGATGGTACTTCGCTCACAGCCAGCGAGCACCTCAATTCCCGCTGCTTCCTGTCCGCCAACGCTTGACCGACTGCTTGGGAGCCATTAGCTACTGACTCGCCCAGATTGCTGTGCACGCGAGGCAGCGCGGCCATACTGGCGACCATCCATGACTCGGCCAGCAGTGCAGTGCAATGCAGCGCAGCACGGCTAGTCGTGAGCATAGCACAGCCATGGCTGCTTCGCTGCCTGCCTGCAGCAAGCGCCGGCTAGTTCTCGAAGCTGCAGCATCAGCCCTACCCGTGGCATTATCCGCACCAGCACCAGCACCAGCACCAGCACCCCGGAGCGAGTCTCAGTCTCAGAAGCAGCGGGTGGGGGGCAGCGGGGCGGCAAGCAGCGGGCAGCCTGACGATAAGACGATCGATCGCAAGGAAGCAAGGGCGAGGGCAGCACATGGCGCGCGTGCCGCATGCGCGCACGTGCGGGCGCTGGTGGGCGCAGCATGCTGATCAACTTGCGTCAGGTCAATTTCGTATCGCAGGCAGGGCGGTTGCCACACCTAGGTGATGATGGTGATGATGATGCTGCCAGGAGCCAGAGACCGCAGCGGTCGTAAGCACAGTACCGCAGGAGGGGTGCTTGTGCGTGTTTATCATGCTCAGGTAACTGCTGACACCGCCGGGTGATTTGCAGCGGCCCTTGCAAGGAGGATAGGGTATCCTGTGATTGACGTCCGGAGCGAAGAGCCAGGATCATCGCCTCCTCCCGCGCATCCACTGCAGCTGCACCTGCATCTGCCGTCGCATCTCGCATCTCGCGTCTCGCTTGCATGCGTCAACCACGGCCGCCAACGACTGGTGAAGGCAGCCGTTGAACCGGAGCCCACCGTATAGTATCGCTGCGATGCGATGCGATGCGATGCGATGCGACGATGCATTGGCGCGCTAGAGCCGGGCAACGCGCGTAGCGGTGGCAGCAGCGAAGGCCTGCCCCCCTCGTGTGCCGTCGCTGCTTGGCCAGAAGCCCTCCTCCACGTGGGGCTGGCGCTGTGGCTGCTCGAAGTACGACGACTGCGCGGGGGCGATCGCGGGGCGCGTGGAGGCGGAGACGG